GAGCCGACAGAGTGCACAAGGAATATCTGCATAACGGTGGCAATAATTTCACGCTATTTGTACTGCTGATGATCTTTATTATCAGTCAGGCCAATACCGGGAATGATTACTGGCTATCATACTGGACTACTTTGGAGGATGAGAGGCGTATTGAAAATACTAGTGATGTCAAACAATTCGCGAACATGTACAACGATAATTTCCTTGGGTCGATCTTTACATTGAACTCGGACGGTCTGCTGAGCACTATGGATGCCATATAGGTCTGTTCAAAAACTATCGCGAATTTTGTGTTTTTTCAAAAATTATTTATTTATTCATAAATATCTATTTTGTCCCCTTCAAAGTAATCCCCATCAGATATTATACACTTGTGCCAACGTTTTTTCCAATCCTCGAAGCACTTCAAAAAATCATTTTTTGTGATCTTGTTCAGCTCCTCCTTCGATGCCGTCTTTATCTCTTCAATCGTAGCGTAGCGTCGTCCTTTCATGCCTCTTCAGTTTCTCTTCAGTCGGGAACAAGAAAAAGTCACAGGGGGCCAGATCTAACCCATGATTCGTCACCAGTTATGACCCTCTGGAGCACATTTGGGTCGTCGCGGACAGAGTCCAACAGATCCTTAGCAATGTTAATGCGATGCTGTTTTTGGTCGAAATTGAGCAATTTTGGTACGAATTTCGCGGCGACCCGTCTCATGCCCAAATCATTGGTAAAAATCGAATGGCATGAGCCAATCGATATGTTTAGGTCCTCAGCAACTTCTCTAACGGTGATTCGACGATTGGCCAATACTATTTTCTTCACTTCATCAATGTTTTCGTCTGTTGTTGACATGCTCGGGCGTCCGGCACGCTCTTCGTCGTTCACATCTTCTCGGCCCTCTGAGAACATTTTGTACCACCGATAAACGTTGCTTCGGTCCAAGGTAGCTTCACCATATGCCACAGTCAACATTCGGAATGCGTCCGCGCACTTAATTTTGTTTTTCACACAAAATTTAATACAGATTCTTTGATCCATTTTTTGGAATAGGCAAAAATTGAAGACGAGCCAAAACACGTGCAAGCAAAGCAGCTGTCAAAAATTAATTGAACATTCAAAATGGCTGAACTTGTCGGCATAAGTGAGAGACATGAGTACCAACATAACGCCACAAAAAAATCGAAAATCGAATATATGTAACCCGCGGAAATTCAAAATTCGCGATACTTTTTGAACAGACCTCGTACAAGACAGCAAACTAAACAAAGAATACGATATTGCTATACAACTTGCTTTACTATTATATTCTGCACATATGTATCACGAAATAACTATTAAGTTTTTTACGCGCTCTATAGTAATCATTTTATGTAGAATAAAATACTTGAAGTAACAGGACTCTTAATGTTTATAATACAACGAAATATAAAGGACGGGCGTGTGTGTGTGTGTGTGTGTGTGTGTGTGTGTGTGTGTGTGTGTTAACAAATAATAATACTAAAACAAAACTAATATCTAGATTTTCTGACAATGATGTGTAAGTATCTATATGGAGTGAGGTGGTGTGGTCACAGGGAATGAGAACTTTGCAGATTCGACGAGGTTTTGGAGTGTTTGGAAAATCTCATCTAAGGATCGGTTGTCCTCAGAAGGGACAGGGGAGAGAAAGAGGAAAGAGAAATTGTGCAGAGTCGGAGACTGAAAGGGTAGGAGAATAAGAAGGGGAAGGAAAATTCAAATTCTAATGATGAAAGGAATGGCCTCGGTCAAGTCCATCACATGGATCGCTGAGAGAAAAAGAGAGAGTTTCTCCCAACTAATTATTTTTTTGCGGGCCTCCTCCAGATCAGAGCGGGCCTCCTCGGAGATAAAAGTTCCCGATTGAATTTTTACGATAATCCCTTTTTTCTAAGTGCCTCGATTTTAGCTCGCTTCCTCCGACCTGCCCGATGGCGATTGCGCTTTACCATCTATGTTAGAAATTTCTCTTTAATTTAAGGAGTTATGATATCGAGATTGAGGAAGAGTGTTTGCATTGAAAGGAATAAGTGAAGAAAAGAGAAGAGAAAAAAAAACAAATAAATAAATGAGAAGATTGGAATCACTCGATACGCCTTTATTGCTTCGAGTAAATCGAGAAATGAGTGAATTTCTCAAAGCGTTTTACTGCTCCAAGTAATTCAAAGGAAGAGAGAATTCACAAGAGCATTTTACCGATTCATGTAATAGGAAGAAGAAGGAAATGTAATCGCTCGAAACGTTTTATCGCTCGAAGCGTTTTATCGCTTCAGGTAATAGTGAGAAGCGTTTTACCGCTTCATGGAATCAGAAGGAATGAGTATACTCTGTTCGAATCGTTCCAATAATACAATTAATCGTTTCAAACATATATGAAATGGAAAAGAATGATTTTGTGAGAGAGACAGGAAATAGAAATTTCTCTGAATTTCTCGTAATTTTGTACTAATGAAATTATTCCTGATATATAATATTATGGAAATAGTTACTCACTGTTTTTTTTATTTGAGATTGAATGGGAGAACGACGGTAAGAATCCCTACAGGTGATCGGATTGGAAGACTGACTGGTAGTGGCCCTCAATGGAATTGGTGTTGAATCTTGAGCGAGACCGGGGAAGAGTTTCACGCACTGTTACAGCGGAACTAGTGATATGACCGAGTGACGGACTGACTTTCTGACTCAAAAAGGTCTCATATTTATATTTGCGGTGATGATGTGCCCTTCTTTGTTTTTTGGCAATAGATCATTGACCTAGCATCTTCTAGAAATTGGACACTTGGAGGAATCGAATTGATGGATTTGTAATTAGTCTTATTTAACTCCGGAAGCGCGCGAGCAACGGCAAACAAAGCTTTATTAGGCAACGAAAGATTTATTGGGCAACGAATGACCTTCTGCTCCTGTGACTTGACTAACTCTAAGCTCTATCGGTTAAATTTGTCGCTGGAAAAATTGAATTTTAATTATTTTATCAGTATTTAGTTTGCTATATTAAACAAATATTTACTTATTTTTACTTATTTCCTAATTACGCAAAAGAACAGTTTGTTGTAAATTTTCCACGAAAAAAAAGAATCGTGGAGTCCTCTGGACGTAACAATAGGGATGCATCAACTTTATAAATATTTATCTATTAGGGCTAACTTATAGGAACCTGGAAAGGATTTATTAAGGATGACATAAGAAAGGCTTTCTTATTTATATCTGATGAGGTCCTCATCGGTATTTGAGAAGTATAAATCAATTTTATAAATACTCATTTATTAGGGCTAACTTATAAGGATATGGAAAGGATTTGTTAGAGATACCAAGCGATAGAGTATACTTGTTATAACTTACAAGGACATGGAAAGGATTTGTTAGAAATATCAAGCGGTAGAATATGTGCTATATGTGACAGATTTCTTAACCTATAAACAGTTGTTAACTTTAAGTTAAGTTAAATATCTCACAGGGAACAGCGATTTTTTTCTTCTGCCAGATTCGTTCATTTTGTTTAAATATGTGTTTACTAAACATAATTTTGATTATTGGCGTTGAGGATATGAAATTGAATAATTATTTAATTAATTTTGCTCACAAGGAAAGGGACCTAACTGTCCCCTCCGATTTTAAGCTCTTAATATGTTATTCTCCAGACAAAAATAAGCGACATGTATATGTGTCCATATGTACTTTTAAAGGGTAAAACAAAAATTTTCCCTCAGAAAAAATTGATTTTTCTTTTTTGAAGCGAATATCGTCGGAACTGTAAGAGATAAAAAAAATTTTTCTGTATAAAAATTGAATGGCATTCAGAGTACTTTAGAACTATAATAAAAAATTTTTTTTTATATAAATAATTTTTATTATATTAATAAATGAATAAACAATTTATAAAAAAGTTTTTTTATTATAGTTTTAAAGTACTTTTGAAGCCATTCAATTTTTATTCTAAAATTTTTCTTCTATCTCTTACAGTTCCGGCGATATTTGTTTCGAAAGAGAAAAATTGATTTTTTTCTAAAAGGTGTTTCACCCCCCTCCCCCCTAAAAGTGCGTATTGGCACGTAAAAAAAATACTGACTGAATGTTCAGTTAAATTTCTATCAGGATTATATTGACAGATATATCACAGCTATACATTCATTAACATTCAGTGTTCGTGGATCGAAGTAATAATTTACGTACGATTACAAAGGCAACGCGAATGGTGGTTCACATTCGGATGAGTGACCGTTTCAAAATACCATAAAATTAATTTCCATAATATTTCTTTATAAGGTTCTGATAAGTTTTTTTTACACGGCCCTATTATAATATTTTTCCGTATAGGGCCCTGATAATTTTTCCGTATAGGGCCTTGATAAACAATTTATTACATACCATGTAGTGTCCAAGTTATCTAACCTAATTAATAGGGCCCGATTGATTTTAGAACATACTAATCGGATCCTTTTTTAAACCCTAACAATTTTCTACACGGATATCTGGGAAGAATATCGTAAATTACCGCGTCGCGTAGGAGCGCTGGCGTATACCCGCGTTTCGCGCGCGCTTTGCCCAGACTGCGTTGTACTACAAGACAAAATAAAACACATTACGACGAGTTTCACCGGCGACATGTACATACATGTACACTGCATTGTAATAACTCGCACACACATATACAGAGCCACTACGCATTTGCATACCGAGCCGATGCGATTTCGGCGAAACCACAAGCTGAATAAATTGTATTATACTCTGTATGATTTTCGCTAATAAATAACCTTAATTATTTTCTGTACAAATAAAATCATCACATTAAGTCATTGTATCTCCTCGCTACGAATCTCTTTCCGCGCTCCAACCGATCGCATAAATTCCGACGAGTTATTCCGCGCAAAAAAGTTGTTACATGGCGTCCGAACATGGACCCGCCCGAAGGAGGGAGATGCAAATCATACCAAAATCATAGATATATGCGCTTAGCAAAAGTGACACTATTACCGAGATGGAGTTCCACGGATTGGATACGAAGGGACACGAACTCTGGACGAACTGAGGTCTCGTATAAGTGCATTTGTGGAAAAAAATCTGGGGAGTTTCTAAGCTCGTACGCCACCGCCGCCACTCCCGCGAGAACTAGGCTGCCGTGAATGCTAGCATAAACCCATTTAACATGGCACTCACCCCACCCAGTCCCGAGAAACGGCCTGCAAAAATAATTAATAAATGTAAAAATGGGATCTCCAATTCGAAGAGAAAGATCCATGGGCATTCCTAGAGCGCGAGGAATTAAAAAACGATTATGAATTTACGAGTACTAACCACCAGTTTCTTGAAGGGTTACCGGTACTCTTAAAAGGGGACGCGTGATGTTAAGGAAATCGCAAACGCTGGGAATGACTTCGTCAACAGTTTTAAAGCCTCGTTTTTACCTCACGCAGACGCCTTTCAATTATTGGAAGATTATATGTCCACACTCGTAAGCAGAAATCGAGAGACATTTTTTAAGTATTCTACAGCGTTAATCGCTTTTATGAACCAATGTCGGAATAACGATAGAGCCGTGGCAACTAGAATACCTCTACCGGAATATGCATTTCTCCTACCAGTGACGTATCAATGTGCCGCATACAGGAACTAAGCTGCAAGATCGCAACGAGTGTTGCTGGCGCTGCAAGCAGAAGGGGCACATCTAATTCGAGTGTAGACGCTTGTTCAAGAAATTTTGCTCGCAGTGTAAAAGGCAGTGTTGCAAGGACGGAGTCCTGACAAAGAACTGCCATCCGCCGTCGGGAAACGGGCCACAGACCGAGGAAACTTCGCTTCCTGGTCATCAACGTAAAATTTACGCTTCGGCCGACATGTACTTCCAAGATATAAAGCTGGTCGCGTTAATAGACCCGGCTCGGAAATCTTGTTTATCAATGACATCGCACAAATAGTGAAGAAATTGCATTTCTCTATAAAAGGGGACGCGGGGGAAATCTAACTCGCTGACGGACAAACGATTGCCTTGCCCGGTCTCGTAAATATATCTATTAGAATCGGCAACCGACACGCACAGCATACGTTCCAATAATGCTTATTACGTTTGTAA